AAACCTTGTGAAACAAAGTCTGGAGCACTAAAACGAGGAATCGTAACCTGCTATTCGTATGACAGTCTGACCATGGACAAAACCCATAATTAACTACAAACCTTTTTACAGTTGATACGGATAAATACTGGGCGACATAGTTGCATGGTAGAGGGCGTGTTTCCGTGCAATGTTGACGCATACAATTATATTTTCTATCATGGTATCCTCATAAAAATACCATTTACATATAAGGCATATTACGAGCGTATCCACGCGCAACACGAGATTCAAACGATAGGCCCATAGTTATCTAGCTTGCATGTTTTAGGTCAAAATAGGTTACGACTCTTAGTGTACTAAACGTTCACATAGTTTACCTCTAATTCGCATGTTATGTCTATTATTCTAATGGAATTGGTCAGATTGTTATTTTTCATTGAAACTTATTCCAACTATATACCAGTTGGCCTTTGTACCATTTAACACAAACAACGCAGTTAATATCAATTTCGGTTCTAGTCAACATAGTATAGGATACACTTTATGTGATCTGGTAAATCTTCTTTTAGCCATTGGTCGATACACAGTCCCTCTATCACCGGTCTCGAAACGGTCGCTGTCCTAATGTCCTATTGCGCGTAGCGGGTAAATAGACCATTGACACTTATACGTAAAGCGCAGTTGACGCAACTTGTCAGGGGTCATCTTCAAGTTGATAGAGGGACTGTGGTCGATACAATATTCCCATTCTTTGTTTCCATTAAATCTTTATTATATCTGAATGTTAAAAATTCAAAAACAAATTTATTTTACCAAACCGTACATCCCATGTTTATTACACTAGTTATCTCTATGTTCATCGTATCATTTCGTTCACTGGACTTTACCATCGTTACCATAGTTACAGGCAAATCAACTTATTTTTGCTCATCTGGTTATATTATATATTGTCTAATAATACTGTTCTACATTCACGGTTCACAAAAGTAGCAATACTTTTTGTAACAGATTTTCTGAAAACACATCATAAATTATTCTACTCGGTGTGTTGAATTTCTACATTGTGAGTAAGCCATAATTTACAATTCAGTTCTCTGTACACTGTAAGCACTTATCATGACCCCGTTACACAGTATACCTGGATAGTGTGTACGCCCGGACAATAAACAAACTGCTAATCTGACCTCAATGCTCAAAACAATTCTAAATTAATTCGAGCAAACACTTGTCGAATAACTTGTTTTGCATACAATTGATGTCAACACGAGACGTCACATATTGAACGCACATCATGATAACCTGTGACATCGGTGATAACTCCTCCAATCACGGACTAGTATTTGAAGGCGTGTACAGAGGTGTGTCGTTATACATAACTGTTATTCAGTTGACTATCGAGTTACAGGTAAGGATGGGATAGTCTTTAAATTCTTTTCTTTTTTTAAATTAAGAGTATCTAATTACTTTTATAGTTTTTATTTTAAACGTTAAAGAACGGCAATCGTCGTGCCGCGTCCTGTTCGATATGGGACCCCATATGGGACTCATAGCGACACATACAACGCGGGTAAAATACATTGTTTATTTACATGAAATTCGAAAACGAGCTGCGCGACGACCACCGAGCTTTAATAGACGTGTCTGACAGTTAACGCAATTTGAAATACCATATAATATTACTTACGTCGTTCTGCGCATAGCAAGCTGCCAATAATGTGGTGCCTGGGACACAAATTACAATGTATATCACAAAAAAATGGGGAGGGAAATTGCCTAATGAAATGGTTATTGTCGAGTATTTCAATAATTACGCACCTGATACTAGTATACAAACATACAATTTTCTATATTACGCTTCATATATTGCCATTCCTATTGGAGGTGATTCCTGTGTGACTTGCCGATATCCCGTGCAAAT